TATGTCCACTCACAGGATGAGTGACGTTGCCCAATTAATTCTCCCTTTTTGGTAAAAGTTTAATTAATGAAGTACTTTGTGTATGCAGTGTGAGTATAGGTGGGTGTGGGGGCAGTATAGGTGGGTGTGGGGGCAGTATAGGTGGGTGTGGGGGCCAGTATAGGTGGGTGTGGGGGCAGTATAGGTGGGTGTGGGGGCAGTATAGGTGGGTGTGGGGGCAGTATAGGTGGGTGTGGGGGCAGTATAGGTGGGTGTGGGGGCAGTATAGGTGGGTGTGGGGGCAGTATAGGTGGGTGTGGGGGCCAGTATAGGTGGGTGTGGGGGGCAGTATAGGTGGGTGTGGGGGCAGTATAGGTGGGTGTGGGGGCAGTATAGGTGGGTGTGGGGGCAGTATAGGTGGGTGTGGGGGCAGTATAGGTGGGTGTGGGGGCAGTATAGGTGGGTGTGGGGGCCAGTATAGGTGGGTGTGGGGGCAGTATAGGTGGGTGTGGGGGCAGTATAGGTGGGTGTGGGGGCAGTATAGGTGGGTGTGGGGGCAGTATAGGTGGGTGTGGGGCAGTATAGGTGGGTGTGGGGGCAGTATAAGTGGGTGTGGGGGCAGTATAGGTGGGTGTGGGGGCAGTATAGGTGGGTGTGGGGGCAGTATAGGTGGGTGTGGGGGCAGTATAGGTGGGTGTGGGGGCAGGAAAGCCACCTGCTGACAATCCCAACCTCATGAGTGTGTGTATGTATTGTCTTTATCAATGTCAATGACAGTAGTTTAATAGTAAGCAATAAGTATACCGACGGTCTCGCTTCATGCAGGTCGGCGTTCAATCCCCGACCGTCCAAGTGGTTGGGCACCATTCCTTCTCCCCCCCCCCATCCCATCCAAAATCCTTATCCTGACCCCTTCCAGGTGATATATAGTCGTAATGGCTTGGCGCTTTCCCCCTGATAGTTCCTCTCCCAGCATATAACCCAACGTTAAAAGGTCGAAAAGTCAGGTACCTTCTCCCATATACTGTTCTCGGGGTAGATGTGCTTATCTAGACTAGCTTGCAGGGTTATCTTGAGGGTTATCTTGAGATGATTTCGGGGCTTTTTAGTGTCCCCGCGGCCCGGTCCTCGACCAGGCCTCCACCCCCAGGAAGCAGCCTGTGACAGCTGACTAACACCCAGGTACCTATTTTACTGCTAGGTAACAGGGGCATAGGGTGAAAGAAACTCTGCCCATTGTTTCTCGCCGGCGCCTGGGATCGAACCCAGGACCACAGGATCACAAATCCAGCGTGCTGTCCGCTCGGCCGACCGGCTCCCAAAACAGAGTAAACAAATCGTCTCCATATCTCATCTTTTCCAGTTAATGACCAGTTATTGGAATGAAAATGGTTCCTGGTTTTTCTATTCGTTATTAATTTTGAACACTGTTTTTTTTTTAGATGGCCTTGACAATCCTTTGTAGCCCATCACGCTTGTTCGCAGCCCCTACTCTAATGAGGGGGGGTTGCTCCCTGTAGTCGGGTGTGGGGGGGGGGGGCTGACTCCCTGTAGTCGGAGGTGGGGGGGCTGACTCCGTGTAGTCGGGTGTGGGGGGGGGGCTGACTCCCTGTAGTCGGAGGTGGGGGGGTTGCTCCGTGTAGTCGGGGGTGGGGGGGGGCTGACTCCCTGCAATTAGATGTGTCTCCAGGTTCCATTTGTGTCGCCTCGTACTGCCGTTTCTCGTATTCAATTTGCATCTTTGTCCACCGTCTCTTTACATCTATATCTAAAAGGGAAAATGTCTGTTTGCCAGTCTTTATGTCAAAGGTTGTAAGCCAGATGCGTGGAACTATAACTCAGCATTGCAGGGGGAATGGTCTGAGGTATGGGATAGGCATAGGCTGGTTGGGGACACCAGAATTCAAGGGGACATAGCCCGACAGGCACGTACTAACCCCCACAACTAATTTTGGCAATGCTCTAGCTATGCCTGTTTAAATGTAAAAAAAAATCATATTTTTTTTTTACAAATAGGCCTGGCCAGGGACCGGGCCGCTGGGATATCTATCCCTGGAATCAACACAAGATATGCCAAATTATATACTTATCTTGGAAAAATTTACATAATTTTTCTAATCTTCGTACTATGTAAGTAGTAGTTAGTGTATGATATAAAGTCCACTCACAGCTTCAAAGGCCTTCTCAAGCCCCCGCCCCTTTCTCCTACTCAACTAAAGAAACGCGCCCAACATGTTCGGTAGTTCCGACCTTGTCGCTGTTGACTCTTCCCTTTCACAGAACATATTGGGCTCTGATCTATCCTTCTTACCAGAGGTAATCTGAGTTAGCTTTAGTCTCTCTGGCCTTTCTTTTTCTTATGTTGCTGGCTCTTTGTCTCTTCTCCATTTGGCTTCTTGTAAGTTTTCATTCTATTCCTAATGTTTTGAAGGTTTTCTTATATTTATTCCTAATTCCCTTACATCTAACCTTCCGTATACCTTACCTTAATCTTTTAATTCTTACCTATCATCCAAGTCTCTTACCTATATCATCTAACTCTGTTACTCAGCTTCTCACTCTCTTAATTACCCATCATTTTCCTCTCTTTTACCTGTCATTTCGCTCTCTTATCTATTATCTGACTCTCCTCATACCTAATAAATTGACTGTCTTAAACTCTACTTCATTGCATGTCTTAATAATAGTTCAGGACGGACCGAAACATCGTTAATTCTTCATGTTTACATTTTGGGCTTCGTGTCTGAAGACAGACTATTGTATTTTGTTAATGTTTTACACATATTGCTTCCACCAGCGGACCACCGGCACGCCAAAGGGTAACTATTATGTTATTTTGATGAGAGAGACACAGAAACAGAGATATAGTCCACAGGAAGACAGAGACAGTGAGAAACAGACCAGTCTGCAGAAAGACCGGGTCGACCTGGGTCAAAGGAAAAGAGAGAGGAAGACAGAGGAAGCACACAGACAGACATGGACAGTGAGAGGGAGAGGAACGGGAGGAGATGTTTGAAGAGAGGGACGGAGAAAAATGAGAGAGAGAGAGAGAGAGAGAGAGAGAGAGAGAGAGAGAGAGAGAGAGAGAGAGAGAGAGAGAGAGAGAGAGAGAGAGAGAGAGAGAGAGAGAGAGAGAGAGAGAGAGAGAGATAGGTGATTTGGAGAGACGGTGGAGAGAGGGGGAGGCGAGAGGTCTGAGAGAAGGGTAGAGAGGAAATATTGAGGGAGAGTGGGGATAGAAAGATGGATAGAGTGGAAAGAGACAGTAAGGGGATGGGGGAGTTGGGAAGAGAAATGAGAGAGGGGGAGAAAGGATGAGAGACTCGGACCCAGCCGGGTACTACCCTCATCAGACTATATTTACAAGAGAGAATGTCTGTCTGTCTGTTCAAAGCTGGAGGCCAGACTTATGGCTAACCTCACCCAACTTTGCAGGGGGAATGATCAGGGGGTACGGCACGGACATAGGGTAGTCCGGATTAGTCCTATTAAGAAGAAGTAATGCAGAATAGTGAACTCCCGCCACCCCCTTTCCCCGGGCACAAAAAGTAGTGAAAGGTGGCTGGCATTGTCCCTAGATTTCCGCACCTGAAAGTGATGGAGAATGGGTGTATTAGATGTAGGTATTCCCATCTCTGCTGTCAAAATTATATTGTTCCAAACACTCAGGTTTGATAGGAAAGGAACTACTGATTCCCAACGACCTGAAAGCACCAGTATAAAAAACTATGATTTGTTAAGATCTGAAACCTAAATTTATGGGCAGCACAAAACTTCCACCTGACTGCGACACAGTGATTGCCAGGATCAGGTTGGGTTACCGTTACCTGTGGCAGGTGGCTACAGGTGACGGATCTCCCAATCCTGAGCACTCCAGGTGTAAACTCTGTGAGCAGGAACTGCGGCATGAGCTTGCACACTACATCACTGAATACCCAATTAGTAGAGAATTCAGACCCGTTAGCATTTAGTACCTGCAGCTTTGCAATTACCTTATTCACTCTCGTGTTCTTGAAAATATCCTTTTAATGCACCCAAAATTTGCCAGTGCAGACTACTGAACATATAGCCCTGTGGGACTAACCATCCTGCGAGATGAGGACTTGTATTACCACTGCTACCTTATTCACTCTTGTGTTGATGATATCCTCATAATGCACCCGGAATCTGTCAGTGCAGACTGCTTATCACATGCTTCTGATTGACTAATCATCCTGTGTGATGGGGTATTTTTTACCACCACGTAGCTAGCTTTTTGACACTCTGTACTCCGCTTCATATAGTCTAGGGCAGCTGTGCAAATGCAGATGTACCTAAATGTGTTATAAAAAAAAGAATGGGTTGAAGAGTTCAGTTTTACATTAAATTATCTATTCAGGGTTGGAGGTTAGACGGGCAAGAGGTGAAAGGGGAGGGAGATGGGATGAAAGGGGCAAGAGGGGGGAGAGAGTGGGGAAGAGGAAAGAGAGAAGGAGGAAGTGGCGGGAAAGAGGGAGAGGGAAAAGACATGTGGTGAGAGGAGGAGGAGAGAAGAGGGCAGAAGGAAATGGGTGGTTGAGGGAGGGCCCTCCTGAGCCCGGCCGGGTAGACCCCTTCAAGTATCACATACACGGTGGCATTATATACCTTCCGTATTATACCTTTCCTTCAACATTGTGAGGACGAGTTCTCTGAGCTCTCTGTTTAAGACCAGTCGTGTTGGCATCTTTCTGAACGTTCTCTACTTCCTATATACCCCAACCAATTGGGCTGAACGGTAGAGCGACGCTCTCCCTTCATGCAGATCGGCGTTCAATCCCCGACCGTCCAAGTGGTTGGGCACCATTCCTTACCCCTCTGTCCCACCCCGTATCATTATCCAAACCCCTTCCCAGTGCAATGGGAATAGTCACAATGGCTCAGTACTCTCTCCTGATAAGTCCCTTCCTCTTCCTAGATGCGTATTTGTTTAGGTGAGGACTCCTGGCTATGGCTGTGTGAAGAACCGAGAGTTTGAGACAGAAATGTATATATAAGTTCGCATGGGGGCAATGGACCTAAACTTTTCACAGAAGGTTGTTATTATCAGGTATGTAGCTATAATGCTCCTACTGTCATTAATTCAAATGATGCATTTTGATTCGCGGTCACGAAGCTTTGACTAATTAGCCTGAACTAATCGCTTACCCGACTACTTCCTGCCTGCCATCGTTTGGCAATATAGAGCAGTAGTGGAGAGGGACAGATTAGTTGCCTGCGGTCAGGATCCTTCTATAGGCCTTGACCGCAGGTAAAGTGCGAACCATTAGTCACGTGATTTACCCATATGCTGTCAACAGACTTCTGACTGGCTCTCAGCTCAAGGTGCCAAGGCGACAGCTTGTTATCGGCACAAATAAGCTGTCAGAAAAACTATGCTCATACCCAGTGCTACTATGAAATATTTAGTGAACAAGTCAAGGAATTTAGAAAAATACTTAAAGTCCTTCAATATAGAGACATCTTCAAGAATTGACCAAGTGTTTATCTGGAATAATATGTTACTTAAGAACCTAAAACATGAATATGAAGGTAGCTGTAAAAAGACTATTGGATCATGTGAGGCAGCAACAGTTGGTCCATGTGAGGCAGCAACAGTTGGTCCATGTGAGGCAGCAACAGTTGGTCCATGTGAGGCAGCAACAGTTGGTCCATGTGAGGCAGCAACAGTTGGTCCATGTGAGGCAGCAACAGTTGGTCCATGCGAGGCAGCAACAGTTGGTCCATGTGAGGCAGCAACAGTTGGTCCATGTGAGGCAGCAACAGTTGGTCCATGTGAGGCAGCAACAGTTGGTCCATGTGAGGCAGCAACAGTTGGTCCATGTGAGGCAGCAACAGTTGGTCCATGTGAGGCAGCAACAGTTGGTCCATGCGAGGCAGCAACAGTTGGTCCATGCGAGGCAGCAACAGTTGGTCCATGTGAGGCAGCAACAGTTGGTCCATGTGAGGCAGCAACAGTTGGTCCATGTGAGGCAGAAACAGTTGGTCCATGTGAGGCAGCAACAGTTGGTCCATGTGAGGCAGCAACAGTTGGTCCATGTGAGGCAGCAACAGTTGGTCCATGTGAGGCAGCAACAGTTGGTCCATGTGAGGCAGCAACAGTTGGTCCATGTGAGACAGCAACAGTTGGTCCATGTGAGGCAGCAACAGTTGGTCCATGTGAGACAGCAACAGTTGGTCCATGTGAGACAGCAACAGTTGGTCCATGTGAGGCAGCTACAGTTGGTCCATGTGAGACAGCAACAGTTGGTCCATGTGAGGCAGCTACAGTTGGTCCATGTGAGGCAGCTACAGTTGGTCCATGTGAGGCAGCTACAGTTGGTCCATGTGAGGCAGCTACAGTTGGTCCATGTGAGACAGCAACAGTTGGTCCATGTGAGGCAGCTACAGTTGGTCCATATGAGGCAGCTACAGTTGGTCCATGTGAGGCAGCAACAGTTGGTCCATGTGAGGCAGCGCCTGTTGGTCCATGTGAGGCAGCAACAGTTGGTCCATGTGAGGCAGCTACAGCTGGTCCATGTGAGGCAGCTACAGCTGGTCCATGTGAGGCAGCGCCTGTTGACCCATGTGAGGCAGCTACAGTTGGTCCATGTGAGGCAGCAACAGTTGGTCCATGTGAGGCAGCTACAGTTGGTCCATGTGAGGCAGCTACAGCTGGTCCATGTGAGGCAGCGCCTGTTGACCCATGTGAGGCAGCTACAGTTGGTCCATGTGAGGCAGCAACAGTTGGTCCATGTGAGGCAGCAACAGTTGGTCCATGTGAGGCAGCAACAGTTGGTCCATGTGAGGCAGCAACAGTTGGTCCATGTGAGGCAGCAACAGTTGGTCCATGTGAGGCAGCAACAGTTGGTCCATGTGAGGCAGCAACAGTTGGTCCATGCGAGGCAGCAACAGTTGGTCCATGTGAGGCAGCAACAGTTGGTCCATGTGAGGCAGCAACAGTTGGTCCATGTGAGGCAGCAACAGTTGGTCCATGTGAGGCAGCAACAGTTGGTCCATGTGAGGCAGCAACAGTTGGTCCATGTGAGGCAGCAACAGTTGGTCCATGTGAGGCAGCAACAGTTGGTCCATGTGAGGCAGCAACAGTTGGTCCATGTGAGGCAGCAACAGTTGGTCCATGTGAGGCAGCAACAGTTGGTCCATGTGAGGCAGCAACAGTTGGTCCATGTGAGGCAGCTACAGTTGGTCCATGTGAGGCAGCTACAGTTGGTCCATGTGAGGCAGCTACAGTTGGTCCATGTGAGACAGCAACAGTTGGTCCATGTGAGGCAGCAACAGTTGGTCCATGTGAGACAGCAACAGTTGGTCCATGTGAGACAGCAACAGTTGGTCCATGTGAGGCAGCTACAGTTGGTCCATGTGAGACAGCAACAGTTGGTCCATGTGAGGCAGCTACAGTTGGTCCATGTGAGGCAGCTACAGTTGGTCCATGTGAGGCAGCTACAGTTGGTCCATGTGAGGCAGCTACACTTGGTCCATGTGAGACAGCAACAGTTGGTCCATGTGAGGCAGCTACAGTTGGTCCATGTGAGGCAGCTACAGTTGGTCCATGTGAGGCAGCAACAGTTGGTCCATGTGAGGCAGCGCCTGTTGGTCCATGTGAGGCAGCAACAGTTGGTCCATGTGAGGCAGCTACAGCTGGTCCATGTGAGGCAGCTACAGCTGGTCCATGTGAGGCAGCGCCTGTTGACCCATGTGAGGCAGCTACAGTTGGTCCATGTGAGGCAGCAACAGTTGGTCCATGTGAGGCAGCAACAGTTGGTCCATGTGAGACAGAAACAGTTGGTCCATGCGAGGCAGCTACAGTTGGTCCATGTGAGGCAGCTACAGCTGGTCCATGTGAGGCAGCTACAGCTGGTCCATGTGAGGCAGCTACAGCTGGCCTTATACAAAGCAGGTCCTATTTACATCCATGCAAATTCATTCAAGTATATGTTTAGCCTTCGCTTGAAACAATCATGATTACCCGAAATGTGTTTCCATAGAGGAACAAGTTTCTTTCGTAACCAATCATTACCCATATATTTTCTGAATAGAACCTTTACTGATTTGAATCCATTGTCTCAAATTCTATTTCATGTTGACATAAAAGGCACATATACAATATTTCCCCCCCCCCCCTTTGGGTGTAATCTTTCACCAACTTGAATATTTAAATCACGTCATCTGATACGCTTCTTCATTCTTCATAATGTCAATTCATCTTTTTAAATCTGTATTCATTTAATTTCTAAACCTGTTGATTTCAAGACTTTCGAGACTTGACTTGTAGAGTCAAGTCTCATACTTGACTCTACACTTTCAAGCCAAGTTGCAATACAACGATGAGCAAAACTAATCTTCATAGTCAAAATTTGGCCAAACAAGATAAAGCTGAATAATATCAATTGATATCTTAAAGCAAATACTTCAAGAATTAAATTACAAAGGTTCAAATTAATATTGTGGATAATGAAGCAGCTGTCTGTATACATGCCATGCCTTATGATAATTCCTTGTAGTATGTTCACTATCTTATGATTATTCCTTTTAGTATTGCGAACAAGATGTGTAATTACACAACTACCGCAGTTACCTCATCACAAATTAAAGCCAAATGATGAGTAACTAATGAACAGATCCACATGGGCCGTGATGAGGGTTCCAACTTACTAACGGGAGGTTCCCAGCTGCGCCTTAGTCAACTGCGCCACGACATGGTTAAAAGAAGGAGCAGCTGGGAACACCCCGTGCGTAGGCTCGAATTCTAATCACGGCCCATGTGGATTTGTTCATTTGATATATCGCGCTATTGTGATTTTTGCGTGTAATGATTAACTAGTTCATCACGTATACGAGTAGTTTAGCATAAGGGACACTGGATGTCAGTTCCTGATCCTATCTTGAGGTTATCTTGAGATGATTTCGGGGCTTTAGTGTCCCCGCGGCCCGGTCCTCGACCAGGCCTCCACCCCCAGGAAGCAGCCCGTGACAGCTGACTAACTCCCAGGTACCTATTTACTGCTAGGTAACAGAGGCATTCAGGGTGAAAGAAACTTTGCCCATTTGTTTCTGCCTCGTGCGGGAATCGAACCCGCGCCACAGAATTACGAGTCCTGCGCTCTATCCACCAGGCTACGAGGCCTCTATCACCTGTATCTTTACCATCTCCATCAGTCCCCACGGATGGAACTGATACTACTACAGTCTGTCTCTCTGTACACGCGAGTTATTCACTTGGGGTGGACGGTAGAGCGACGGATCTCGCTACATGCACGTCGGCGTTCAAACCCCGACCGTCCAAGAGGTTGGACACCATTTCCTTACCCCCGTCCCATCCCAAATTCTTATCCTGATGAGTTTCCAGTGCTACATAGTCATAACGGCTTGTCGCTTTACCCTGATAGTCCCTTCCCCTCCCTCCCTCTCTCTCTCTCAGCACACACACCTACACGCTCTCTCCTCCAGTCAACCCCCACATTACTGATAATGTTTGGAGAAATAATCACAGTTCTACTCCTGCTTGCCCGTACAATCACAATTCTACTCCTGCTTGCCCGTACAATCACAGTTCTAATCCTGCCCGCCGGTACAATCACAGTTCTAATCCTGCCTCAGGAGACCACCCCCCCCCCCCCCACAATCTCACTCTGGCCTTTAATGACTTGCTCATTAATTCACTGTCATCCTTGCCGAACTGTTGCGACCTATCGCCATATATGTCCCAATCAAACAATCACACAATTGTATATAATGAAGCATCTTACCACAGAGAGAGGTTTCATGCCCGCTGTAATGGCTTTGAACTTGTGTTGTGTCCGACGTGCATATACGACGGAAAATCCTATTATTAAAGGCCACATTACATGACATACAAACATTTCCTGCAATGTTCCTACGAGCCACGGGTGTAGCTGGGTGTTGGATAGACGCATGTGTCTAGGGATTTTTTTCCTACACTCCTGACGCTAGATGGGAGAGTGGGTATAGTTATGGGCTCGCTAGTGGTTGACCCCCATGGCGTCCCAGGTTCGAATCCTGAAGCTACAAAGACGAAGCTTTCTGTTTCAA